GGTGGATAAGCATGACTCGTTCTTTTTTATGAACTAAAGATTGTGTAGTTTCACTTCTGTGGAGCGGGTTGAAACGATAACAGGGTTCACCTTATGGCCTATCACCTCATGGAACGAATTCAAAACTAAGCCTGCGCGGTGCGGTTGAAATTGTGAATAATTACAAAAGGTGAGTTAATAATTTATTTTTTCCGAGTTTAATGTTTAAATGTACCTATATGTATGTATGTATAACGTTTATTAGAGGCAAAACCTAACTAGCCACGGTGGCCGTGTTTCCCCTCTTCGTTAGTGTAGCTAGCTAACGTTAGCTAGCAAGTGAATTCAGTCGTTGCAAGAGCCAAAATGTGCATGGGGGTTTCAGAATGGTTTAGTTTCCTGGGATATATTCAAGATTCAACATCTGTATTGGCCATGTACATGCTTCACACATACTCGGAATTTGAACTGGGGGGGGGGGGGGGTTGCGGGGGTGCTATGGCGTTTACTAGGGATGCTCCGATCAAACAAAAACAACAAATTATTACATTCAGACTAACTACTTATAGTAGATGAAGTACATCATTCAAAAGTTTAGATTCACTTTGGATAATAACACGGGAGAAACGGAGGCTCTATTTCCCTCTTTCTCCTGACAGCCAGTCAGTTTCAGACTCATGCAGCTAGCTAATCCGGTAATGAGTGACCCGACAGTGAAGAATAAACATATTTATAACTAGTTTAGCTTGTTCCAGAGGTAGATAAAATAGTTAAGTGTGTAACTTGGAAGGGTGTGTGTGTGTTGCTCCGCTCAACGGTCCCTCACAACGGGAGGACCTGCGGCGGTGATTATGTAGAGCTGCGTGTCTCCGTCACCTCTGTCTTTCTGCTTCACACACGTTGCATAGAGCTATTTTATTGTCTTATCAGGACACCTTGAACTGCCACAACGGTGAAGCCATTTTGGTGAGCTTGTTTTGCCGCGAGCAGAGAAAAGTCTCATGTACCCCTGCATAGGCTTCTCTCCCCATGACAATGATTTTTAACCATTATTACCATTATCCAGGGGGTATATGAACACTCCTGTGCCCGGCCTGGAGCATCCCTGACTGGGTCCTATTTAATGACACGTCCCCCCCCCCCATTTAAAAGTGCCTTTCCCCCTATGAATCACTGTTATCACACCCAAGCCCAGCACCTGGGCTGCTGCAGGCAGGGGGGCCTGCTGGAAGTCCCAGGGCTTTTGGTAATTGAGACACCCCAACCAACTAACATTACAGTAACATGGTCACATCTCCTCAACCCCAATTCAGCTAGCAATAGGGGAAAACACAGGCAATTAATTTCAGTGCTTTTATTTTTTTGTGTGCACTAATGTTAAACCACCTTGACTTTTTTTATTTTTTTCACAGGAAGTGTAAAGGGAGAGGACCATTCCATTGTAGAACTAGGTAATCCTATGAAGTGGAAATGTAAGTTCTGCACGTTTTCTTCAGCTAACCAGCGTAGTATAATAAGGCACTATAAGTTGAAACACGGACATTATGGTAGGTATTGTCCTTTGCCTTGCATCTACAGTGACTGTGTGTGCTCTTTCAAGACACAAGTAGCCCTCAAGAATCATTTACTGAAGCATGAAACAGTGACTCTGAGACCTCAAGATACTGTTGCTCGTGGATCTCAAAATAATATTGTGACTTATCGACTACATTGTGAATTATGTGATTTCTCTGAGCCCTGTACACTTAAAGAATACTTTGTTCATTTTGGAGTTCATTTGAAAAACAAGGAAACTGTGAAGTGCCCTTTTCAGCAATGTCTATTTCATTCTAATGTGTATTCCACCTTTAGAGCACATAAAAGTAGATATCACTGCTCTTCCGAATTGAAAGATTTAAGGGCCGAGTTAATTTATGATTGTGATCCACCAGCTGCAATCAGTGGGGAATGTAATGTAACGGCACCAATAGACATTGATGTCTCACAAGAGGATGTCTCACATGATGAATTTGAACATGTTAGTGGAGAGTCAGTTAAGCTTAAACTTGCATCCTTATTCTTACGTATGCAGACACTCTTGCATGTCTCCAAGTCAGCTACACAAGAAATAGTTGATGAACTATATGAAATTGGTACTCTAGCTGGAGAGTGCACCAAGACATCTATTGAAAATGTATTAAGGCAGCACCTTAGCGTTGATAACAGAGGCTATACAGGGAACAAATCCTCTTGGTTTTCTTTCAAGGAGTGGCCCTTTTGGCACTGATCACAAAAGGTCAACTTTTTTCAAAGATAATTTCCCTGTCATTGAGCCAGTAGAATATGTCCTAGATGCAGACCGGAAAAAAACGTTTGTATATGTGCCCATATTGAGTGTGCTAACTGAGTTGCTAAACAGGAATGATATCCTTGACAAAGTGTTAGCTGAAGAATCTTGTTCAAAGTTGCAGTCTGGTCAATTTAAGTCATTTCGTGACGGCTTGTTTTTCAAAGAAAATCCTCTGCTCTCTGGAGATGAGTTATCAATTGCTGTTGGTTTGTATATAGATGATTTTGAGGTTTGTAACCCATTAGGCACCTCCAGAAAAAAACATAAAGTGTGTGCCTTGTATTGGGTAATTGCCAATCTACCGATCAAATATAGATCAGCTCTGTCATCTATTTACCTTGCCCTTTTCTGTAAGAGTGACGATTTAAAAACATTTGGGTACACTAAAATTCTAGATCCACTTTTGAAAGATCTACAGATACTTGAAAACCAAGGAGTTTTTATCCAGCGGTTGGGGGCAAATATTAAAGGGACAGTGCTTTTTGTCTCTGCAGATAACTTGGGAGCTCATTCTCTTGCTGGTTTTCAGGAGTCGTTTAATGTAGATAAGTTTTGTAGATTTTGTTTGGCAAGTCGTAAGGATATTCAGACTACTGAAATAAGAGGTGATTCATTTCCTCTCAGGACTAAATTGTCCTATGAAGCTTGTGTTTCGGAGCTCAAACAAAATGCAGATCTCACAAGTGTAAATGGTGTTAAAAGGGACTGTGTTTTAAACAGGTTGACCTATTTTCACACTGTAACAGGGTTCCCACCTGATGTTCTACATGACCTATTAGAGGGAATTGTGCCTGTTGAACTTAGCTTGTGTCTGAGCAAATTGATTCATGATAAATACTTCACACTTGCTGAATTGAACACTGCCATTCAGAGATTCCCATATTCATTCTCGGATAAGACTAACAAACCCCAGAGACTAAGTCAGACTTTCAGAGTTAATGGAACAATTGGGGGAAATGGACACGAGAACTGGACTCTATTAAGGCTACTGCCCTTGATAGTTGGTCAACTGGTTCCAGAAAATGACAAAACGTGGAGGGTACTTCTTGAACTAAAGGACATTGTAGAAATCTTATCCTCCTCTGTGTTTACAACTGAGTCGCTGTGCTATTTGGAGTATAAAATCTCAGTCCATAGGCAGTTGCTGCAGGATGCATTTCCTGATTTGAAGTTAAGACCAAAACATCATTTTGTCGAACATTATCCATACCTCATCCGATGCTTTGGACCTTTGCTTGACTGTTGGACGATCCGTTTCGAAGCCAAGCATAGTTTTTTCAAGAAAGCTGTCCGTGATGTAAACAATTTCAAGAATATTTTGCTCACATTGGCCAAGAGACACCAACTCATGCTGGCTTACTACCTGGACATGCCCAGCCTTTTTAAGCCCCCTGTGGAAGCTGGCAATGTATCTTTTGTGTCTCCAGACATTTTGGATAACTCTGTCAAACAAGCTATCAAGTTCAAGTATAAAGATGTTTCATCTGTGTCTCTTGCTACCAGTGTCTCTCTGCATGGCACAAAATACGCTGAGGGGATGTTTTTATCTATTGGTACCACAAGTGGGCTCCCTGATTTTGGGAAGATTCTCAAAGTACTGATTGTTGGAGACAAGGCCTCATTCATTATTGAGCCTTTTTCAGCCTGGTACGTGGAGCACCTGAGATGCTACGAACTTACCAAGAAACCTTCCACAGACCTCCTAGTTGCAGAGCCAGAAGAATTGAACAGTTACTCCCCACTGTCCCCCTACCTTCTGCAAGGAAGACTCCTGATCTCACCTAAGGTGTTCCTAATACATTGAGGTATTAACCCTGTTATTCCCTATTCGTATTTCCCTATTCTCCTTCCCCGTCTACCTGCCAGCCTGTCTGTCCTGGATTCCTGCTTGCCTGTCTGTCTCCCAGATTTCCTACCTGTCGTCGTTGTTCCCCTCGTACCATCGTTATCTGTCGGTTTATTCTGTCAGTGCTTTGACTGTAAAAAATGTTTTCCAGTAAAGCCTGTTTGTTCACCAAAACTTGCCATTGTCTCTGTCTGCGTTTGGGTCCTGCTTAACCCGACCGTAACACACATGCCTGAGTTACCTAATGTTCATATTCTCTTTTCTCCCAGCTCTCTCCTCTATTGAACAGCCAGCATGTTGCTTCACGTCATCCTTGCAGATGACAACATACAGAGAGTTCGAATTGAAAGTCTTCCGGAGACAGTTGATGAACTGAAGACCATACTGAAGAACCACCTCACCCTGGAGGGTGAGATGGTCATCCAGTTTCAAGATCCTGAATTCAACAATGAGTTCTGCAACTTGACGGACATATCGGAGCTACCCAGAGAAAGGCTTAAACTGAAGATCATTATGTCAGACTACACATTGGACACAGGGAGTTTGGACACTTCCAGTGGGTCATCAGGAGAGACGTCTGGTCGTTCAAAACACTGGCCTGATCCATTCACCATACCCAGCTTTTCCTATGACATTGAGTTGAAGCTCAGGCGAAGAAATGAAGCTTATGAAAAGGATGGTTCCTTGTTCGCTCCCACCAATGATGTCAAGACTGACATTCTTGACAAGGTTGGGCGAGCCATGTACGACTTCAATGCATATCCAACTCCAAAACAAGTTCAAAATGTTGCCAAAGCCCTGGTTGAAAAACATCCATGCTTAAAAGAGCCAGGATCCACACAGGGATGGTACTGCTGGAAGTTTAGCCTCAGTTTTAAGATGGGAAACCTGCGTCAGAAGTATCGTATTGCTGGATGTCCTGAGCTTACAATCAACCGCAAGAGGTCAGCAGGTCAGGAAACCAGAAAGATGAAGAAAGCAAAGCGGGCCGAGATCAATTTCCTCCCAGATTTTCCGCAAGGTAGAACTCCCAACAGCCTTGAAGAGGAGAGAATAACTCTGCAAGATGAGGTAAAGAAGAAGAAGCCGGACTGTAATCTGATAGATTCACTGATGGGCAGGTCCTTTGCGCTGCGGAGACAGGAAATTGTTGAGAAGGAGCCACTTGTGGCGGAGGTTGAAAGCAGATGGCCAGCATTGTTTTCAGAAAGACAAGTGAGTATAAAGCTTTCACATGTACACCCCCTCTTTATAATTGAAGAATAATTTTTAAAGAATTGTTTATTTGTCATACAGCTTTGACACATCAACACATGCGTGCAGTGGGAGGCGACACATCAACACAAAACACAAATACACATGCACAATGAAATGTGTTCTCTGCTTTTCACCCATCTGTGCTGTCCTTCGTCCAAGGGCAGCCAGGAGCAGTGGGTGTCTGCAGGGGCCGCTCCCTGTCCAATCTTGGGTCAGGGACGAACAGGAGAGCAATCTATTCTTCTGAATGTTTTAATATTGGGGTTCTGTTTTTGGTCCTTACAGATTGCTGCTGAGTTCACGCGTCTTGTGGCTGCTGACCTCCCCAAGTCCTTCCTTTCTGGACTCGACCGGCATTTGCCAAGACTGCTCGAGTTGTACAAAGCACGAGAGAGACGCGACACAAAGATTCACAGTCTGCTGGAGTCTCTGGATTCTGAAGTAAGTGAAGAAGTTGCTGTTAGATTGCTGTTAGATTGCTGCTAGACCGCCCCGTTAATACAGTGATGTCTTTACATGCCGGAGACCAAACTCTTTTATTTTTATCTGGTGAACATTTTAGTTTTTGAAAGACTAAGCTAATAAATATGGATTGAAGCAGAATATTTCGTTTGATAAAAACATGTTGTCTATGATGAAATTATTACATCTATCTTTTTTACAATAAATGTTGAACTTTTGGACTTTACAATGCCATAAAAACACATCCAAGCAACACATTAATGTAACAGATCACATGTAATATAGTCAGATCTATCGTGCTCTAGGTGGGCAGTGATATATAAGCCTATTCATTTAGCATTCACACAGTCGGTGATATTTTGCCAGCTGTCCTTTCTGCATTTGTCCGTTTAAACTGTGTTGCTTTTAGCCGGTTTATGATTTTAACTTCTTGGTTCTTACGATCCGCGAGCACCATGCTGTGATTGGTCAGTAGGCGGCGCTTTTGTACGAGTTGATCTGATATCACGAACATAACCTGCTCCGGAGCAGGTTAGGCGTTCAGCATAAGTTACCGCGTTGATCTATCCCAGTAAGAAGTGAACCACCTTCGTAGTACAGAAACCCAGGGTTAAACCTGAAGTGACCTCGCTAACCTCAAATCCTGCTTCGTAGTACAGGCCCCTGGTCTGTCTAGTTTATTTTCTTGATGCCTGTTTTGATGTGTTTTGCAGAACTCCAACCAGAACAGAAGGTCTGCAGCACTTCTTGGACTGCCATATTTCATGAAGGAGGATCCCTCCAACTTCATCAAGTTCTGCGAGGTACGTTTCAAACTTAATAAGAGATGAGTTCCTTAGTGTTAATGTAGCACCCACCTTGACAGGCCATGTTCTTGCAGATGAATTTCATCTGTTGCCATCAGGGCGTAGATATGCTCTACCTGCTCTTAAGACTAATCGCTTTTCAAAATCATTCATCCCCTCTGCACTCAAACTTATACATTCTTGGTAGGTTTTTTAACTTGACTATTTATTTATTTATTGTGATGCTATGGAACTACTTATTGTGTAAATTGGAATGATCCACATCTCTGCCCCCGGGTGTATCTATCTGTGTGTTTTCTTCCTGTATGTTCCTCCCTGTACATAACATAAGCTGCTCACAACCAATTGCCCCTCGCGGGATTAATAAAGTTGTTGATTGATTGATTAGTTATTCAATGTTTTCTGATATAATTCAGGCCACTGACTCAGAGGAGGCGGCAGCTGTAAACGGAGTGGATGTTGGCGTACTGATCGTCACAGAAGAACGGGAGCCGGCAGCCCTACCAAGGAATATTGCGGATGTTGCTGTGATCCTGGAGGGGCGCATTGTTTTGCGCAAGCTGCGAGATTTACCAACCGGCTTTGCTGTGCTGATGGGCATACTTTACAGCCTCAACATTGATTACCCTAAGGGACTGAAATATACCTTTGAGGTCATTCAGAAGGTAATCATGGACATTGGTGGAGGCACCTGCTCTGCTCGGGCTCATGGACTGCGAAACAAATTGCTTCAGGGCACAATATAGAGATGTGGTTCCCTTCCCTGTCTGGGTTCCACCTTAAGGTTATTTAATGTGGTTATTTGATGTGCTGCACAACTCCAAGGCAGCCAGCAAGACTTGTTCTGTTCCAGCTAAACTGCATTACAATTGTTTAACTATTTCCTTTTAAACAGGGTGCTGGATTTTCCCTCTGTTGTTAATTTTGGAATGATATGTTAGCTTGTTATTTTATGAAACGATAATATGTCTGTCAAGTATAGAGTGCCGCAGTGACGCGTCCTAAAACCCGGAAGTAAGCTGCACATGGGTTCCTTCGACAAAAAACAAATGCAATTTCTCCATAGGATTTTGGAAAATAGCTCGAAATAAGGTCTGTGGTTGAAACACGTTTAAGAGACAGATCACGTTTTGTTCATCCGGATAATCTCCACATGTCTACCCTACTTTTATAATTTTCTAATCATAAATATAATCGATAGATTTATGATTGATAGATTTATGATTAGAAAATTATGAAAGTAGGGTAGACATGTGGAGATTATCCGGATGAACAAAACGTGATCTGTCTCTTAAATGGGTCTCAACCACAGACCTTATTTCCAGCTATTTTCCAAAATCCTATGGAGAAATTGCATTGCGTTTTTGACGAAGGAACCGGAAGGAGTTTACATCCGGGTTTTAGGAAGTGTACTGTGGCACTCTATACATGTTTATACACTATACAGATTCGGTTAAAGGCACAACTTTTCATGTTTTTAAGTTTGGTTTGTTTGCAGTTGGATAGATGTTTCAAAGAAAGGCGTTGCCTTTAAACTTATATTACTCGAGGCATAGTTTGTTGTTCTATTAATAATGTGCTGCTGATGTTCCGCCTTGAGCTACTGCACTTTCAACGAAGTTACATTATGAATAAATGTATGTTTTTGATTGTTAATTGTTTCAGAAATTCACTTCACCAGTTTGAAAATGTTGGATTCGGTAGCCAGAGCAATTGTTAATTCAAAAAAGTTGTCTGAATTTAAGATTGCTAGACCAGACAACTTTCTATGTTCCCTGAACATAAAGTCAAGTTTAAACAACTTTAATAACTTTGTTGGTACTGCTAAAACGAATAAGTTGATGAGAATTAGGGTAGTCAGTTCATTCAGTGTTTTATTGACTACACAGTTTGTCAATTGAACTAATTATTCTAAGTTTAAGACACTTAAGGGTGAGTTGAGAGAATTGAGAAAAGTTGTTGATGCAACAAAATATTTGTTCATTTGACAAAAAAAAAAGAAGTTCACCGAATGGTTTACTTGTTTTATTTAGAGTCCTTGGAACTTGTTTTTTTAAGTTGGAGAAACGTAATTGTAAGTTGAAATTTACTTGATTATACTTTCCTGGCTGAACTTAATTGTAAGTTGAATTTACTTGATAATACTTTCCTGGCTGAACTTAATTGTAAGTTGAATTTACTCTTGATATACTTTCCTGGCCTGAACTTATTAGAGTTGAATTTCCTTGAGATACCTTTCCCTGCTCTGGAACTTAATTGTAACGTTGAATTTAGTTGTGATATACTTTCTCCTGGCTGAACTTAATTGAGAGTTTGATTTACCTTGATATACTTTCCTGGCTGAACTACATTGTAAGTTGCATATTGGCTGAAACTAATGTAAGTGAATACTTGAGATCCTCACTGGCTGACTTAATTGTACAAGTTGGAATTTACTTGAGGATACTTTCCTGGCTGAAACTTAATTGTACGTTGAATTTACTTGAGATAGATACTGTCCTGGTCTGAACTCGAATTTGTAAGTTGAATTTACTTTGATGATACTTTCCTGGCTGAACTTAATTGTAAGTTGAATTTACTTGATATACTTTCCTGGCTGAACTTAATTGTAAGTTGAATTTACTTGAGATACTTTCCCTGGTGAACTTAATTGTAAGTTGAATTACTTGAGATACTTTCCTGGCTGAACTTAATTGTAAGTTGAATTTACTTGAGATACTTTCCTGGCTGAAACTTTAATGAAGTTGAATTTACTTGAGATACTTTTCCTGGCTGAACTTAATTGTAAGTTGAATTTTACTTGAGATACTTTCCTGGCTGAACTTAATTGTAAGTTGAATTTACTTGATATACTTTCCTGGCTGAACTTAATTGTAAGTTGAATTTACTTGATATACTTTCCTGGCTGAACTTAATTGTAAGTTGAATTTACTTGGATATACTTTCCTGGCTGAACTTAATTGTAAGTTGAATTTACTTGATATACTTTCCTGGCTGACTTAATTGTAAGTTGAATTTACTTGATATACTTTCCTGGCTGAACTTAATTGTAAGTTGAATTTACTTGAGATACTTTCCTGGCTGAACTTAATTGTAAGTTGAATTTACTTGAGATACTTCCTGGCTGAACTTATTGAGAGTTGAATTTACTTGAGATACTTTCCTGGCTGAACTTAATTGTAAGTGTAATTTACTTGATCTACTTTCCTGGGCTGAACTTAATTTTAAGTTGAATTTACTTGAGATACTTCCTGGCTGAACTTAATTGTAAGTTGAATTTACTTGAGATACTTTCCTGGCTGAACTTAATTGAGAGTTGAATTTACTTGAGATACTTTCCCTGGCTGAACTTAATTGTAAGTTGAATTTACTTGAGATACTTTCCTGGCTGAACTTAATTGTAAGTTGAATTTACTTGAGATACTTTCCTGGCTGAACTTAATTGAGAGTTGAATTTACTTGAGATACTTTCCTGGCTGAACTTAATTGTAAGTTGAATTTACTTGATATACTTTCCTGGCTGAACTTAATTGTAAGTTGAATTTACTTGAGATACTTTCCTGGCTGAACTTAATTGTAAGTTGAATTTACTTGAGATACTTTCCTGGCTGAACTTAATTGAGAGTTGAATTTACTTGAGATACTTTCCTGGCTGAACTTAATTGAGAGTTGAATTTACTTGATATACTTTCCTGGCTGAACTTAATTGTAAGTTGAATTTACTTGAGATACTTTCCTGGCTGAATTTAATTGAGAGTTGAAATTACTTGATATCCTTTCCTGGCTGAACTTAATTGTAAGTTGAATTTACTTGAGATACTTTCCTGGCTGAACTTAATTGTAAGTTGAATTTACTTGATATACTTTCCTGGCTGAACTTAATTGTAAGTTGAATTTACTTGATATCCTTTCATGGCTGAACTTAATTGTAAGTTGAATTTACTTGATATACTTTCCTGGCTGAACTTAATTGTGAGTTGAATTTACTTGAGATACTTTCCTGGCTGAACTTAATTGAGAGTTGAATTTACTTGAGATACTTTCCTGGCTGAACTTAATTGTAAGTTGAATTTACTTGAGATACTTTCCTGGCTGAACTTAATTGAGAGTTGAATTTACTTGAGATACTTTCCTGGCTGAACTTAATTGTAAGTTGAATTTAGTTGATATACTTTCCTGGCTGAACTTAATTGAGAGTTGAATTTACTTGATATACTTTCCTGGCTGAACTTAATTGTAAGTTGAATTTACTTGAGATACTTTCCTGGCTGAACTTAATTGTAAGTTGAATTTACTTGAGATACTTTCCTGGCTGAACTTAATTGTAAGTTGAATTTACTTGAGATACTTTCCTGGCTGAACTTAATTGTAAGTTGAATTTACTTGAGATACTTTCCTGGCTGAACTTAATTGTAAGTTGAATTTACTTGAGATACTTTCCTGGCTGAACTTAATTGTAAGTTGAATTTACTTGATATACTTTCCTGGCTGAACTTAATTGTAAGTTGAATTTACTTGAGATACTTTCCTGGCTGAACTTAATTGTAAGTTGAATTTACTTGAGATACTTCCTGGCTGAACTTAATTGTAAGTTGAATTTACTTGAGATACTTTCCTGGCTGAACTTAATTGTAAGTTGAATTTACTTGATATACTTTCCTGGCTGAACTTAATTGTAAGTTGAATTTACTTGAGATACTTTCCTGGCTGAACTTAATTGTAAGTTGAATTTACTTGATATACTTCCTGGCTGAACTTAATTGTAAGTTGAATTACTTGAGATACTTTCCTGGCTGAACTTAATTGTAAGTTGAATTTACTTGAGATACTTTCCTGGCTGAACTAGAGAGTTGAATTACTTCTGGCTAATTAGTTGAATTTACTTGAGATACTTTCCCTGGCTGAACTTAATTGTAAGTTGAATTACTTGATATACTTCCTGGCTGAACTTAATTGTAAGTTGAATTTACTTGATATACTTTCCTGGCTGAACTTAATTGTAAGTTGAATTTACTTGATATACTTTCCTGGCTGAACTTAATTGGTAAGTTGAATTTACTTGATATACTTTCCCTGGCTGAAACTTAATTGTAAGTTGAATTTACTTGATATACTTTCCTGGCTGAACTTAATTGTAAGTTGAATTTACTTGATATACTTTCCTGGCTGAACTTAATTGTAAGTTGAATTTACTTGATATACTTTTCCTGGCTGAACTTAATTGTAAGTTGAATTACTTGGATATACTTTCCTGGCTGAACTAATTGTAAGTTGAATTTACTTGATATACTTTCGCCTGGCTGAACTTAATTGTAAGTTGAATTTACTTGATATACTTTCCTGGCTGAACTTAATTGTAAGTTGAATTTACTTGATATACTTTCCTGGCTGAACTTAATTGTAAGTTGAATTTACTTGATATACTTTCCTGGCTGAACTTAATTGTAAGTTGAATTTACTTGAGATACTTTCCTGGCTGAACTTAATTGTAAGTTGAATTTACTTGAGATACTTTCCTGGCTGAACTTAATTGTAAGTTGAATTTACTTGAGATACTTTCCTGGCTGAACTTAATTGTAAGTTGAATTTACTTGAGATACTTTCCTGGCCCTAATCAAAATTTTAAGGCAACAGGGTTACAAATTATTTTAAGTTGAGTCAACTTGTATTTTTTTACAGTGTAGCTGCTAATGGTAAACCACTAGGATGACTGACAGATGATCTCGCCTCACTCTCTCCAGGAGGGAGTAGCATGAAGCTGCAGCGTCGGAGGCTGCAGTCTCAGGACCGCACTCCTAGGACAACGCACAGAGTGTGAGTAATGTGAAGTGCTTTTAAAGTTTTATTTGTTTAACATTAATAACAATTCCGGTGTCTTGAAATGAAGTGTGATTAGCTAACGTTAACTATGATAGTCTTAAGGCAATACAAACAACCATCTGTTAGC